TTATACTTATGTACGGAATAAGTATTTATAAGATAAATACTTATAAAATTTCAAATTCCGCTGCAAACTCTGTTCCGTAAGGTATATCGAACCCAACAACAATACCTAAAAATGAGACCCTATAATAGAATTTCCCCATAAAATTTTTATTTTTCTTTGTGCATGTGCACATGATGAATACTAGTTGATCCATACAACAAATATGAAATAGTGTTAAAAAGAAAAGTGACAATAACATCGTATTAAACGACTGCTTAATTCACAAAACCTCTTGAGATAAGTTACATAGGTAAATGTGATTTAAGAGGAGTTTGTGCAGACTCATGTCGGAAATATATTATAAGAATTCATAAAGTATTGTCATAAAGCTTTTGTAGCTTTTGTATCCTTAAGTTACATAAGAATGACGTCGATATTCAATGAAATAGCTAAAGAAATAATGACTCTTCAGTAGGTCATAATTTCTTATTAAGCTAAAAGCTTATGTGAGAAGCAATCATTTTAACAAAATTTTAACACCGCACGAAGGTAGATACAAAACTCCGTTTGAATTACAAAAAAGAGCAAAAATATTCGTACATATAACTTAAAACGTGGGGTGTTCGGGCATGGTAAGCACCACACGAAGGTGGATACGGAACTCTATTTGAGTTGTAAAAAGAGCAAAAGTATTCATACATATACCTTAAAATGTGGTGGTGTTTGGTCCAAGGTAGAAATACCTATATAATGACATGAAAACTTTGTTGAAATATTTTTGTCAAATGATTTGAAATTCATTGAAAGACAATATAGGTCCATGCATGTTCTTCTAACTCTTTGTGAGCGTACTCCTTATATAGACAATATGATAATTTTGTAAATTATCATGATGTGTTCATGAATACCAATAAAATAAAGTTTGACACAAAAAGTTTGTGAAATTCTGATGTAATTTCAGAGATTAAGTTTCTAACTGATCAGAAGTAATTGTTAGACACAATCTCATCATGTCAAAACTCTTTTGAAGAGGCTCGATTTGTTTGATAAAACTTCAAGCTAAAATGCATATAAAATTGACTCTACACTTAGCTAGGAGTTTGAGAATAATTAGTTTTTCGACAAAAGTATGCTGAATAATTGGAGGCTTAAGGTACTTGTAGGATAGTACTTGCCCCAATGTTTCATTTTGAAGAGTGAACTATGAATGTTCACGAGTAACTCGAGCGATAA